AGGGGCTCGGACTTGATGATCTTCTCAGGTCCCTTCTGAACCTACTAACTATGAAACTATCTCCACCTTCTCTGTGTCATCTGCTATTTTTTCTCTTTCTCCATTTACTAATAGTACTTAGTCTGCCTCTCATTTCTAATGTACTTGTGGAAACTTTTCATGTTGCTCTTCCTGTATAATTTGCTAACTATAACTCATTTTATGTCTTAGCCATGAATTTTTATCTCTGGATGATTGTGCATTTCCTCTATTACCATTTTAGACAAGTCCATGTTTCCACTTTTTGTATTAATATTTTTGAGTTTTCAGGCCCATAAGAAGCTCCTGGTGTAGCTATATTCGCTTCTTATTAGGCTTTCTGGCTTTCCTTCACAACAGGATAGTTTGTCATTGCATTCTTAATATAGTCACTTTCAGTGACTTGTGGCTCTCATGCACTCATAAAAGCATAGGAACTGCCATGCTGGGTCAGATTACAGAACCATGTAGCCCAGTATCCTGTTTCTCACAGTGAGAGAGGGAAGATGCTAAGAGGAAGGGAATTTTAGCAGGGTATATCCAGAATGATCCTGCCCCCTTAAAACTTATAGCATTCAGAAACCTTGAAAGTCCCAATTTTGAGGTGCATCCTTCATTGTCCTGTTTAAGCCTACTAATTGACTTATCTTCTGTGAATTTGTGCAGTCCCTTTTTGGACCTGGTTAAATTACCAGCCTCAAATTATCATTTCTTTACCCTGCCAGTTATCTTCCCAAGAGGCCTTGCTTATCAGTTCCCTCTACTTGTTAAAGTCCAGTGTCCATCTTCTGCTGCTCTTTCTTTATAATAGTGAACTCTCTCATTTCACCATTTTCACATTCACCTGTTCAGCCACTTCCTCTCTAATGCTCAGAATTAAGTCTAAAATACAGGCTCCTCTAATATCTTCCACCTTCTGAAACAAAATGTTGTTTCCAACGCATTTCAAGAACTTGATTGAAGGGAATTAAAGTCCATTGTTACCACCAACTCCTGTCCTTTGCATGTGTCTAGTAGCTGCTCAGAAAATACCTCATTCACTTCCTCTTCCTGCTTATAGGGGAGTATATAGTAGGCCACTGATACAGCAGGCCACTTCTATAGTACTGTCCCTCTTCTTTTTCCCTTTTATCTTTACTCAGAGATATTCAGCCAGTCTGCCTTTACTTGCTCCTGAACTTCAAACCAGAGATACAGTGCAACATTGTAAGGCTTGTGAAGCAGGCTGGGGTTTGGGAAAGCTCCAGGGAATGCTTTCATGAGCATTGTCTCAGTGGGCTCCTTTCCTCTTTCCCCTCCCCTTCCCCCAGTGTTTCCTTCAAAGAACTGCAAAGGCTAGGGCCAGAAAAACTGCATTAGGCCCCAGCAAGTCCAAGGCAGGAGATTCCCTACCATAAAGCAACCAGGGCTGTTGCTGTAGTTAGGGACTTGGCTATGTGGCTGGCAGTGACTGGGCAGTGGGTCATGTCCTTCCTGCCCCAAATTCTCCAGCAAATTAAATGGTGTGACTAAGGTTGAGGCGAGATTTGCACATAGGGCTGTGGTCTCCCACTGGGGACAATGAGGTGTCCTGCTTCCTCCCTTAGTGGTAGCTGTCTAGGGTGAGGGTCACCCAGCTGGGCAATGTGTGCTGTAGCAGGTCCTGAGTAGACTCTTTCTGGTGATAGAACACTGCAAGCATAAATGAAGGCCCATCATGGAGGGAGCTGGTCTCAGCAAGTGCTGTGGAAGCCTGCAGCCCCTGGTCCTACCAGCACTGCTGCTGCTACCTGAGAATGGCCAGTGCAGACTGGGCCACTGAGACAAGCAGCTTCCATAAGCACATTGGCATTTTTCAGGTTAATAAAAGGCTCATTTGTTTGTACAACACAAGATTTCTTCCTCCAATTTGGTTCTTAGGAGATAAGCCCCTTCCAGGGCCACTCTTAAGATGCCCTTATTTCTGCTTCCCAGTGACCTTGTCATATCAACAAGGAGCATTGGGCAAGACTAGAATCAGCCTTTCCCTGTCTTTGCATAGCATGCATGTTTCCTCATAACAGATGGAGCCCCACACAGTTCTCATTTTCCTGTCTGAGGGGCAGTCTGTGTTGTGGGGGGTGCTTTGTCCAGTACAGAATTGCTTAGTACACATTGTTTTGGGAGTCCAGTCCAGTCCAGTTCAAGGTAGTAGGGCAAGGGATGGGGAATCCCTAAGAGGCATGGGAGTGTTGGGCACGTGAGGTGTTGTGGACTGTGTGGTGTGAGGGAGCACTGTGCAGTGCTGGGGAGAAGGGAGTGCTCTATGGACTGACACAAAGTGCCTTGCCATGGACTGGCTCTGATCCTCATTTCCTTTTCTCTCCCCCCAGACATTAATGAGTGTGAAGAGGTGAGTGGCACTGGGCCCCTGTGTGATGGTGGCACCTGTGAGAACACAGAGGGCTCCTATCGCTGCAGCTGCTCGCCTGGCTACGTGGCACTGGCTGAGCCCCACCGCTGTGTGCCAGAGACTACCCAGAGCCCGGAGGCAGCACAGCTCTAGGGGAAGAGAGCAGGTGAGAGTGGCCCCTCAGGCACTCTGCTCTGGTACCCATGATGTATTGAAAGGGAGAAAGGCCCCTGGAACTGCAACAGCTTTGAGGCCCTTTGCTCATCCCCTAAAGCGCACAACTTTCTTGCCACCTCTCACCAGGCAGCCACATCTGCCTGGCCTGCTCACCATCACAGCACCAACTTGCAGGCCCCCTCTCCCCTTGTCCCTCCCTTGTACTCTGGACCCACAGATGACAAGACCCCATCTCCTGCTGTCCCTCTTCCCTGAATAGGGCCCATCAGCCTCACAGGCCTCACTTTCCTGAACTGCACCCACCTGAGGCACTCCTCCCACACTCCTTGTCACCATGGATGCAATGACTTAACAAGCACCAAAGGAGCCTGAAAGTGGTGAAGGGCAGCATCTTCCTCTAGTTCCCCAGTTACCAATATACATTGCTGAAATAGTGGCAGCATCCAGCCCTTCCTCCAGAAAAGGGGCTACTAACTCTCAGCACTGTCCTGTCCCAGAAGGCTTGTGGGAAGCGCTCTCACCCACTTTCAGGGCCCTCATTGCAAATGTTTATCTTCTCTGCCCTATTTCCTTCACCTTGCGCTCAGCCTCTCCGAAAGGGGCAGCTAGCCCAGAGCCTGGCCCCCAAGGGCCTGAAGTCTGGGGAGGGCCAGCCCCAAGGCTTATAAATTCTGCCTGCCCCCTGGAAATGGCTTGGAGCCCAGTGAGTTGCAGAGGCCTGGCTCTACTCTCCCCACGTCCCTCCCAGGCACATAACTTTTCCTCCTGCACTTTGGCTGGTGGCCTTGCATTGGGTTGGGGAGGGCAGTTCCGGCTTTTTAGTTTTTGTAAGGTTGTCACTGGCTTTTTCCTAATAAGTCTGCTGGGAATATCTGTCATGTTGTTAAATAAAACATTTATTTTGGGCCCAGAGGCTGATACCAGGGTTGGTTGGAACTGTTTCTGCCTGACCTGCCTGCACAGCTCGGGGCAGTGGGGTCAGGGAGTAGGATTCTGTGTGTACATCATTGCAGCACACCTTTCACATCTTAGCAGTGCCTAGAGTTATGTTGTTAGCCACGTTAGTCTGAAGTCAAGTAGAAGGCAGGGTAGATTTATGTTGTATAGGCTAACCAAAACGTGTGTGTATGTATATATGTAGACAAGGTTCTTTGCATGAATCTGATATCTTTTATTAGACCAATTAGTTGGTCTAATAAAAGATATCAGATTCACGCAAAGAATCTTGTCTGCCTATGTCCTTAGACCAACACAGCTACAACCTACACCCCTGTATATATGTACATACACACACAGAGGCATAAGAGGAGCGTGTCCTTCCACAGCATCTGATGAAGTGAGTTTCAGCCCACAAAAGCTGGTACTATGCATATTTATATATATATAATATACTTTATACCTATTATTAATATATATATTATATACAACTTTGGTTGGTCAAGATGGTGCAAATCTACCCAGCCGTCTGCTAGCACAGTGCTTTCCAAGCCTGTCTTTTCAGTTGGAGATGGCCCTTTCAGTATGGGGTAAACAGGCAGCTGCCACCCGGCAGGGACTTCTACAGCTGGCTGTTGCCTCTCTTCCTTCAGCTCCTGAGAAACCCCAATACCTGTACTGAGATTTCTTTCATGTACCCGAGAAGAGGGCATATTTCCAGAGACAGCCAGAATAGACCCATGCTTATGTCCACTCTGAACTGGGCCCCACTGCAGCAGCAGCAGCAGCAGCAGCAGCAGCAGCAGCAGCAGCAGCAGCAGCAGCAAATTCCAGGACTGGTTGCACACACATACGGATCAGAGAGCTCCAGTCCAAGCACTAGTGACCATTAAGGCTAGAGGTGCTGTTAGAGCCCTGGTGCTGTTAGAGCCCACTTCTTTCCGTTCCTAGCAATGAGGAAAAGGGCAGGATCACACACACCCTGCATCTTAAGGAACCTCCTGACACTTGCTTCCAGCTTCCACCAAGGAAGGAGCCCAGGCCCAGCCAAGCAGAAGGGAGGGCCACAGAAAAAAAGTTACCTGAGCAGCGCATAAGTTCTTGCTGGCTGAAGTGTCAAGACCCAGCATCACAAAGCAGAGGTGGATCCTAACCAGCCCAGCAATATGGTGACTCTACAGCACAGGTAGCCCTGCCCTAGTACAGTGATGGGACCTTGCCTGCTCCTACCTTGGCATGGCCCCCCATCACACAAGGCACTATAGGCAGGCGTAGACTTTTATTCAGGTTTTATTAAAAGGAAAGTTAAAAAAAAAAAAAAGAGGTTAGGTTTGGAAGAGCCCCCAGCAGCTCCATATGAGTTAGTAGATAGTGCAAAGGATAGTTAAGAGTCATCCCTGCAGAGACACTGAATGTGGTTTGGCTTGATATCCACCAAGAAAAAGCAGACTTTCACAGTTGCAGGCTTGCTGGCCATGGTAGGGCCCAGGATGGACGCAGCAGTCAGGGAAGACAAATGGAAATGCTAGTCCCCTCTCTTCACCCTTCTATGGCTGCAGATGGCCAAAGCAGCTTCCAGAAGCACTGTCCCAAGGGAGCAGGAGAGATGCAGAAGGATGCAACAGCCAGCATTTTACCACATGAGGCACTGAAGGATTGACAGGGAGCGGCTTTGACACCAGTCCCATTTCACTGCACAGAGAAATCCCTTTGGGATGAGAGCTCCATTTCAAGTAACCAGAAGCCTCTGCAAAGCACTCAGAGCTCTGCAACATGCAATGCCACAGCTGTCAGACTCTGCTGGGGTAAGAGCCTTTTGCTCATTGCTGCCCCTGAATAGCTGTAACTTAGCCCTGAGGGAGCCCAGTACCAGCCACTTGGAGGCTAAAGAACCTGAAAGCAGGTGGCAGAAAATATTTGCTATGCAAAAAGAATTTGGCCCATCTTGTCTTCTGTGTACCCACCCCCTCCCACCAGCTCCTCAGCTGGTGATCTGCACAGGAATCTTCCAACAAAAGAGCATGTCTTCTTGATCATCCAGCAATACCCACTTCACAATCAGCTTGATCTGAAAGAGACAGAGGAGGTGAGAATGCACAGGAAGAGGCTGGTCTTCTGGCATGTGGACAGTTGCAGTTCCTTAGTGTAACAGGGGAGGAAACCACTTGTGGGAACTTCATAACAGGAGGGGCTACAGTACTCACACTGCCCCCCAGAGCTGCTTATGTGCAAAGCTGGTGGGGACTGGGCTTTGTACTTGGAAGGGAGACCTCCAAGGCATAACTTGGGGGCACTTTACTCTTTAGTCCTGAGCTCAGATGGCAGTACAGGGCACTCAACTTGAAGCCTCATTAAACCTCTCTCAAGAGGCATGAGCTGATTCAACACTGTACCTCTCACTGGGAACAACAGGCTCTGGAAGAAGGTCACCTAGCACTGCCCAGAGGGATCTGCTGATGCTAGGGCATTTGCACACTCCCTTCCCCATGGCTGGCAGCTACAGCTGTTCCACTAGGCCCTGTCTGACAGGGAGTGGAAGTAGGTCACAAGGACAATCAGGCATGGAGCAGAAGTGACTATAGACAGGTGACCTCAGCAGCATACTCTGGACTCCCTCTCACTGGCAACACGTAGAGGGTGCATGTGCATCTGTGCGTGGTGGCCCCGAGACTGGCCACCAGCGGATCTGTGGGCAGTTGCCACTTGCCACCCCCGTCCTCACCACCGACACTCCCGTGGCTGCCTGCAGGTGGTCCCCACTCAACCTTCCTTCACTGACAACATCATCGCTGCCACCACACCCCCACCTGCAGGCAGTTGCTATGCCGCCCAGCCTTAGGAGGCACGAGGTGTTCATGCCACTGCCTATGCTCCGTTTCCCCCAGAGGGTGAAAAGGTCTCATTACTAAAAAGGCACATGGTGGAGTCAAGCCCTGGCTACAATGAGTAGCTCTGTGAATCACTCACGCTGGGATACTCGCTCTTTATAGGCAACTTGTTCAGATAGCTGTAGGAATGACCCGTCTCAATGGGGCACTGGATTCCAGACTTGCATCCATCAGGCTCAGGGATGGGAAAGGGGATGTCCACATGCAGCATCTCCCCATACACCTTGGCTTTGCTGCCCTTGCTTTCAATCTCTGAGGAATACAAAGAGAGTGGGATGTATTAGTGCAGAGGATGTTTCTCCCCCCTCCTGAATTCCTCATGGGGCTGGCTCATGGGGGTGCAGCGGAGGAGGAACAGAAGACTAACAGCTGTCAGCTGCTCACATCCTCCTGCCCTGGGGTTACTCAGTGTCCACCCTTCCCTGAATCTCTCCAATTACTGCAGGCAAATCCCATGGACTTTACCTTCTGCCTCCATCTCCACCCACCTCCCTAGTCACTGCAAAGACATCCCAACTCCAACCAAAGCTCAAGCCTTAGAGGAGCTGGGACCCTGTGGCCTGCTCTTACTGCTGGAGAAGGTGACGTTGATGCTGTAGGAGCCCCCTTTGTGGAGCTGGCATGGCTGTGTCGGGCAGGGAGTCACGTTTACTTCTTGGATGTTTCCATCTTTGGAGCCTGGAGGAAAGAACAAGGACACATTGTCATTCTGAGGCCTTGTTCCATATGACTAGAGAAGCAAAGAAAGGAAAGCAAATCCTAACATACAAGTTAGCACACATCTGTGGCCATTAGACCTGACTGCTATGGGTATGGGCCAAGCAAACAACTTCTTTGGAGCTGCTTTCAAAGGGCAGCAACTGTTGCATTCAAATTGTTACATATGACAGAAACAAATGTAGCAAAACCACTCCAGCTTTACTGGAGACCATCAGCAACACTTCTGGTGTCCTGCAGGGCAGATGGTCCTTCCTGTGCAATGGAGCCACTTTATTCAAGGCCTTAGCATTCAGAGTCTTCTGTGAATCCTGTTAGAATAGGCACTGCCTTGTGCAGGTTTTTGCTAAGATTGCATATTTGCTGGCCACTGCATAAAGAGGCGAGATGGATGGTCTAATGCTCCAGACCCCATTCACTCCCAAGGGGCATCCAGCTGCCAAACAGGACACCTAATGGCAGTAAAGCAAAGGCGACTGTGATTCTGGCAGGAAGAGTTATTTAGACATTTAGGCTCCAAGGCAAAAAGCAACCTTTTACAGCCACTACAAACTGTTGCCATGTTGTGGGGGCAGCAGCGACAAAGAGGAAGGCAGAGATAGGGATCACTTGAGTCTGGAGAACTTCCTTAGGGTGGAAGCCACCTGAAGTGCTTGCCAGGGCAAAGTCTGTTCAGACTGCAGTAGCCGGTTTGGGTTTTACAGTGTACTTTAAACAGTTCTTACCAAACTGCCACAGAGAAGAGCCAAGCCCTGCTCTAGAACCCCAATAAGTGCAAAGGGAATCCCAGTAAGCAGGGAATCGCTCGGAGCAGCCCATAGGCTGTGTAACAGGTAGAACTCCAGAGGACATCACATCTACTCTGCCCTTTAACTACATGGAGGAGGGGGCTGTGCCATCCATGAGGACAGTATGGACAAGGGGAAGGGAGATTAGTTCTAGTGCTCAGGACTGAAAGTGACTTTATCAAGAGCCCTCCAAGTCAGCTCCTTGGTGCTGCAGCAGGATTCCAGTGTGCTGAGCTGCCCCATCTCCGCCAGTACACACACACCCACTCACACCCTCTCTGCCCAGGGTGCCAAATTTGTTAGTTATGCCTCTGTTCGGCACAGAGATTCAGGGAGGGGAAAGCAGAGTCTGAAGTGCCCAAAAGGAAGACTGTTTGGGTGAAGTGGAGGCAAGAAAAGAACTAGTGGACCAGGGCATGGAGTAACACATGGGCAGTGGTAAGAAAAAGGCACAGCTGAGATCACTAGGATCTGGCAGTGCCTCCCTTCTCCCACGGAGGTCAGGGTCTTTGCTTGGTCACAGACCTAAGAGGCTTCCTCTTATCTTACTGGTGGTCAGGGCACTCAGCCAGGACATAGAAGCCTGGGGGAAGGGAACTTTTGTTCACAATGCAAGACCAGTGTTGAAAGATTTGTTTTACCGCAATGCTACTTAACCATTTCTACTGAGGGCTCCCAACTCCTAGTCTTACCCTTTCACTACATTCTCTTTCCCTTCCACTTTAGCACAGTGAGTAGGGTACAGAGTTGCTAGGTATGGAAAGGTTTGCTGGGATATTTACCTATGCAATTACCTCCCAGGTGGAGAAGGCTGGAAGAGGAAGTATTTACTGGGTAAACAATGCTGAAAAGTAGTACAGAGCACAGCATGCTATTACTGTTGTGTTGGAAAGGCTGGGAGTATGTGCTAATGGAGAAGGGAGAGTGGATATTGCTTTGGAGTTTCTAGGATTCATTCCAAGAGTAAGACAGAGAACTAGCTGTTCCTCCTTTCACCAGTGCAGAATTGTATGCTATGCAATTTATAACATTAACCAAAGGTTTGTTACATCTTATACATGTAAAGCAAGAGCATGTCCTACCAGAACAGGTTTGTCAATATTCAGCCTAAATATACCCTTGGTGAATTTTATTCCATTATTTCTACAGCACAGTCCTAATTGCTCAATTGCATGCCTATCAAACCCATCTTGCAGGCACTGGATAGAGTCACAGCACAGGATTTTGTACCTCAGATGTACAATAGCTCAAGGGACCAAGCTTACTTGTGCAGCCCATTCACCAGCAGCTGTGTGCGTACCTGTGGGGTTTTTATGCTCCCACCCTTAGGGCAGAGACAGCTGCAGGACTGCATCCATAAGGAATCCCAAACCCACCAGGACCTGGAGTCAATTGCTGTTTCTGGCTCCAATCTAAGGGTATGTCAGAGGCATGGTCAAAATGCAGGAGGTACCAGACAGCTCACTTGAGCCCCATTGCAGATGGCCACAAAGCTCAGCATGTATTTATCCAGGGTCTCAGGTGGATTTGCAGCCCTTGCCAGCTACACTGTGAGCAGGGCTGGAGGTGCCCAGTTCAAAGATAGCATGGGTATGGCTACTCTAGCTGTTATGCCTTTGACTGTAGCACAGACACCCTAGGGCAGGAGTGGACAAAATGTGGCCCCAGAGCCAGATGCAGCCTGCCATCTATCCGGCCCACGGGGCCCCTAAAAAAATTAGAAAATTAATATTTATCTGCCCCTGGCTGCCTATCATGCAGCCCTCCATGGCTTGCCAAACTCAGTAAGCTGCCCTCTGCCCAAAATAATTGCCCACCCCTGCCCTAGGAATTAAGGCCAAGCTTCGAAGAAGGAAGACTGATAGAAAGAACAACATTAAAATCAGCTAACTGGGGTTTAATTTCAGGAGCTTTGTTACTAAACATGTATTTGTTCAAGATACAAACATGGATTCTGAAGAGGCCTTCAAAAATATCTAATTAACCCAAGCATGCCCTGAGAAGAAGAGATTGTAAAATCTGATTGCTTTCTAACTCCTTATCTTGCTTACAGAGCAGAGGTACAGACTAGCAACAAATGAGACTGGAAGAAGGGCAAGTCCCCATCGCCTCATCCAGGTTTCTTTTGTCTTTATTTCATAAGCAGTGAGTCAGAAGTGACCTCCCTTCAGAAGGCAGGGACTGATCCTAGATCCATACAAAACTCAAGAGATAACATAGAAACTTGCTGGCTGATAAGCCTATTTGTCCTTGTCCACTAAGATCCTCATCTCTCCTCCCAGTCTCCCCTGACCTCAGAGTAGCTAGTCACAGGTTTTCAGATTTCCATCTCGGATCCCGTGGGGTCCGATTCTGAGAGCAAGTTCAATGCCTGAAGGGACCTTTTGAAAATCCCAACAGATGCTGAAAGCACCTTTCAAAACCTGCCGGCTGCCTCCAAGGGGTACTTCTGCCCTGCCTGGCATCCTTGCAAGTGACCTCTGCTAAGGTCACGTAAGTCGCCTCGCAGGTCATGCAAGTTGCCGGCCAAGCCGGGACCTGCCTCGCTCCGAGGGCTGCTCCTCTGCCATGCAGCCGTGCCCCGGTCAGCGGAAGCTGCACAAACAGACCGGGCCTTGCCTGGCAAAGGCCGCAGGTCTCGGGGAGGGCCCGGCCTTCACCAGCCCCGCGGGGCTTCCCCCTGCTCCAGCGCCCGGGGCCTCCCAGGCAGGGGCCACGGGCCCGGTGCCGGCCCAGCCCGGCCGCTTCGGTGGCTAGATCCATCCCCCCGGGCCCGCGGCCGGGCACTCACCACAGTCCAGGAAGTGCAGCGGCTCGGCCCGGGCGCCGGCAGCGAGCACCAAGAGTAGGGCGAGGGCTTGGGTGAGGGCCGGCATGGCTCGGCTCGGCTCGGCTCGGCTCGGCTCAGCAAGGGCTCTGGGACAGCGGCGGGGCCCGGCCTGAGTCAGTGCCCAGTCACATGCGCGGCCGACGGCTCCACCCCGCGGGAGCACTGCCCCTCGCCCCGCCTCGCCCGCCCGGGGCTCCCAGAGCCGCTGTGGAGGGGGGGCGGGGAAGCGGGGGCGGGCAGGAGCCAGTCCTTCACACCACCTGCCTGGTAGGGCCGGAGGGCAGCGTTTCTAAGCAGGCAGCGCCCAGGGAGCACTCGGCTTGGTGGCTCGTTGCAGTCCACCTGGTCGGGAGGACCTCAGTCTACTCCAGGCCCCTGTTCCAAGCAGGATCATGCCCAACTACAGCATCCCAGCCAGGGCTTTGTCTTGCTGGGTCTTAAAAATCCCTAAGGATGGAGATTTCCCTCCTTGCTGGGTAACTTGTGCCAGTGCTTTAATGTCCTCCCAGTGAGAGAGTTTTTCCTAATTTCTAACCTAAACTCCCCTTGTGGTTCTGTCATCTGTCACCACTGGGAACAGTCTGGCTCCATCTTCCTTATAACCCCCCTTAAGGTAGTTGAAGGCTGCTATTAAATCCCCACCCTCTCAGTGTTTTCTTCTCCAGGCTAAAGCAGCCCAGTTCCCTCAGCCTCTCCTCAGAAGTCATGTTCCCCAGGCCTCTAACCATTTCTGTTGCCCTTGACAATCCCTTTTAACCTCTTCATTTTGCAGGTGTTAAAGCCGCTCTCTTCTTTTTAACAGCCTTGATGTTCTACCAGTCAAACTGCCCTTTGTTCTGCAAAGCTGCGGTCTCTTCCCTGCTCCTGGTAATGGAGCTCTGATTTCACAGCCCAGCAGATTGTTTTGAACTCATTCCAGTGAAGTTATATTTTCTTCTGCTTCAGTCTTAAACTGTATAATCCAGCCCTAGGCCCCTGGTGCATTAAATCTATGTTGTTTTGTGTGTGATGTTGCACCTCACCACCAGCACCCCCCTTTGCAAAATCCTAGATCCACCCATGAGTACACTTGCACCTGCAGCTTGGGGGATGGAGATGGGTGTATGTTACTCATACTCACTGCCACAAGCCTAGAGCAGAAAAGAAATTAGTACCATGCTTTTATCTGGGTCACATCACAAATGAGGCTGCACATAGCTTGGCAGCTATACCTCCCCATCAGCTGCCTGGCTCCCTTCCCCATCCAGGATCACACCACCCTTAGTGCAGTCATGCCTGGAGTGCTGCATCATATCCTGCCACCTCCTCACTAGGAACGAGTTATGCAAGAGGCAGAGTTCAGAGCAGTAGTGTTGGTTTACCTTTAAAGGCTCATTCTGTGGTTCAGTTTTTGGCCCTTAGTCTTCACTTTATCATGGCATGATGAACTCCAAAAAAGTCACCCTGACCAAAACAGGCCTCAGGCAACTACAGGTTTTTCACTATCCTAACAGTACCCCCCAATTCAGAGAATTGCAACAAAAATTAATCAGCAGAGGTGGGAAGGAATATTTAGGATCCAAGTACATGTTGGTTGGCTGCTGTCTGACAGCACTGACTTCTGCACCTGCCCTTCCAATATTCATGAGCATCTAGATCAGAGCATAGACTTGTTGCATAAATGGGAGGTAGGAGGAACACAAATCCAACAAGCTGTAGAGACAGTATCCATCACAATGCCATGCTGCAGCAGGACCCTGTCCCTTCTGACACAGTCCATTTAGTCTGTTCACCTACTTTCTCTCCTGTCTGATTAGATCGGAGACTGTAGAGTGAAGGCCTGCCTGGATGCTGTGGTGTGCAGTGCAAGCTTATGTAAACTTAACTGGACACTAGAACGCAGCATTTTAAGATGCATTTAAAGGGCCTTAACTATGGAGGCAGTGGAGTTTGGTTTAGCCAGGCATACTTATTTGTAAATGGCTCAAGTGAAAAGGTTATAGGATCATAGTGTTGGTAGGATGTAAACAGGGGAAATGGAAAAGGAACTATGAAAGATGATCCTATGAGCACAGTAGTAGAGATTCCTAAAACAAAGGGATGAAATTAAGAAAAGGGGAAAGAAAATACAGACTGAACAGGAGCTTGCTTCCGAACAAATTACACTGGGCTGAAGCATTCTCCCTGGAGATGCCATGTCCTAAAGGATATGACCTAGACTGAAGTGTTGTGGAGAGCAGGTCAGAGGGAAAAGTGAACTAATGAGCCTCTTCCAGGATAGAATCCCATCTACAATTGAGCAAGGAAGAGGAAGGTATGGCTTGGAGTTCCAGGGAAATTAGGGTAAATGGAGATGCTAGGAAGCCTACACCCCAAAAGAGGAAGTCAACAATTAAGGAAGAAGCTGCACAGCAAGCCCTCAAGAAATAGACCAGAGCTGAGAACCAGAGCTCTTTTTCATAGTCTTATTTTATTAGGCCATCTCCCCAGAGCCTGTATTGAAAGTCCCCTCATGCTCCTGAATTATACCCTGTAGTATGCAGTATCTGACAGCATGGGAAGAATCAGCAGCAGCTAAAGGAGATGTGCATACAGATGAAGAGTAGCCAGGGCAGAAGAAATTATCTTCTTTCAAACACTTCCAGCATGGGCGACTGGTGCCACCTTAGTCGGGGAGGGGGGGAACATGCCCTCCAGCGACCAGGAGGGGGGGTCCCCCCCATGGTCAATTGTGCCAACCGGGGGGGTCCCCCTCCAGCAAAACTTACCAAGTGGTGAGTGGCCATGGCGCTCCTGGAAGTGGCCATGGCCTACATCCAGCGCTCGCACTCCCCAGCCAGCACTCCCAAGTGGGCACTGGCGCTCCTGCCTACCCCTCCTGCCTGTTGCCAGAGTGGGACGCATGGCCTGACAGCAGGTGCACCAGCACTCTTAAGGGGTCCATATGCATTCCTGTGCACCTCCTACATGTCGCCACCAACTTCCAGTAAGGATGAGGGTAGCAGGGACTGGCACTATTAGCAGACTGACCTGACAGATTTCAGAATATACAGTGCTGTATACATAGTGCCAAGAATTATTTCTACGTTGTGACCAACAGTAACCGCAATATACATATCTGCCCCGCTTTCCAGTCCCCTCTGAACATCTAGCAGTAGGTCTCAGCTTTACTATATTGATCCTAGCAACATGAGGTATGTCAAAAAAATGCTAACATGGGAAATTCACACTTGCTTCCTAAAAAAAAACTTATAAACACCTATAAAACACCTATAAAATGTTTGGTTCAGAGATACCTGTGTGGGTGATGTGATATTTAGATCACAAAAAAAATAAAGCTAGAAGGGACTTCAGGAGCTTTTTCATAGGAGCTCAATCCTGCCCATGGCAGGATTGTCCCCATCTAAACCATCCAGATAAACGCTGGTTTAACCTGCACTTAAAAGAATTCCACAACCTCTCCAGACAATATATTCCAATGCCACCCTCACTGTTATGCAGATGATCTGCATAAAGCAGGGGTTTTGTTTCCAAGTTATTTGGCAGCATTGCTGAAGCTGAGCAAGCAGCTCACTGGAGCAGAGGTCAGAAGAGGGAAGGACTGTGGTGGCGTCATTCCTATCTCGTGCCATATTCCTACCTAGATCAACACTCACATGCCTTTATCTCTAATCTGTTTGTGTCACAATCTAGTGCCAAGGGCTTGCTGCAGCACAGAACTGGTATGAAGGAGTTTTACAAATCTTCTTTGGGGTGTAAGATTGGATAAAAGACTCCAAGGAGATTAGTGGAACTATGGAAGCCTTTCTGCAACAGGTACCTCCTACAAGGGATGCCAGCTTACCAGAGAACAAGGATTTTTTCATTGACTGAGGGATTTTCTTTGGAGGCCCATAAAATAATTTAACCTGCAGAGAATCCCATATCAAATAGATTTGAGTGCTTGCTGCAGCCCTGCTCCAAGTAAAGGATAAGGACGGCTTGCCCCATTGAGGCCACTTTTTAAAAATTACACCCAAGTTCCTCTTCTGGTCCACCTACATGCTAAGTGTCATTTCAAGTCCTTTCCACCAAGGTCTTAGAAAGTTTTCTTCTCTCCATCTCCAATCCTTGCACTGTAGATGCACAGCCTGCCTCTAGTGCAGAAGTGATCTCAGTTCAAATAGCTATTAAGATACTTGTGCTGATGATAACATCCAAACCATTCTGCAGCATCCACACAGAAAGATTAAGATGTTATCCTCATCAGCATGCTCCAGGATCCCTCCCTTAGCAACTGTCCACCATTCATATATGAAGGCTCCTGCACATAGGCAATTAATTAATCAATCACAAGAGACGCACTCCCTCCAGTTTCATAGGCTTTGAGTCAAAAGCTTTGTTTCAGCAGATACTCTGTATCAGATCTAAAAAACCCCAGGATACAATCTAGAAAAAACATCCAGCTAAATCTCTGCATCAGGTATAGACTATAAAAAACAATATGGAAGCCAAGGCTCTCAGGCAAGAAAAGGTGCTCTCTGAGGGTTTTCAACTTGTGCTATGTATCAGTACCAACTCAGCCTTACAAGAACATTTCTCAAGCCCCGGACTCCAGGCAAGTGAAGTTGGGGTCAAATACTTACCATTAGTGGTTCTCAAAAATAAAGATATAGCTTCTAAAAGCTACTATAATGCATGGGCCCTGCACATCACTACACTCAGGAATATTTCACAAAAGAAATTTTCATAGAGCCTCCACATCCTCAGAATAGACACAGTTGTCCTATATTGTAGAAAGGCAGATGGTGTACTCCTCGGTTATCATAGTATTAGTGTGATGTAGTCACGATGGTCCAAGACTTGCGTCAGAGACAAGGAGTTTTTCGGGGTGATATTTTTTTAGACCAACTGCATGATTGGAATAGTTAGAAAAGCTTTTGAATGCAAGATATTTTTCATCAGGTGTAAGAAGGGAAGCTCCTAGGCTATGTATACATGCTTAGACCTCGCTACAAATGCATCAGGGAAATTAAGGCCACTATATAAAAAACAGAAATGTACTTAGCCCATTTCAGGTAGGATAGGAAAACTGCTAGGGGAAGTCTACCCTGCCTTCAAAGTTATTTGGGGAAATACAATGCAGCAAGAAGACTGATGCTAGAGCTGCTCAGTAACATTGTCCAACCCAGTCTACCACATGGGAGTAGTTTCTAGGGCTCTGTTTTAACAGTCAGTTTCATCCAATGAAACTAAAGCCCTTTAAAAAAAAGCAATCTTTTACCCACAGTTTCACTGACAAACAGTCCAGCAATCATAGTTGAGTCACTTTCCCCTCCACAGTAACACCCAGAACAGTGGTTCTCAACCTTTTTGGATGTGAAGCACCCTCTGTAACTGTTGTGAATTGAATGCCACTCAAATTAAAAAAAACTAATAAATTACAGTGCAGAGGGGCAAGGTGGGGGAAGGGGTAAGCCAGGCAGGGACAAGTCTGAGTGTAAGCTTATCTGCTTATTTCATCACACCTTGTGTCACCCTGGTTGAGAATCACTGATCCACAGAATAGTAATTTCTAACATCATCTCAACCAGAGAAGAAAGTACCCACCCTCTACAACAACACAAAATCCAAATGAAACCACAAACCATTCATATATACTGGTATATCTTCACTTACTAAACCTAATTGAAATAAGCTTCCAGAACAATGGAATAAACCCCATCCTCAACTGAAATAGGTACACAGCGCTTTAACACATACACACACACCTGAAAAAAGCAGATTAAAATCACCAGCCCACCCTAAGCAGGCCACCCTAACAAATCTCAGCACAGAGTTGCATAGAACTAAAATGCTCACTAAATACAGGATCAACAACCATACACTATGGCAGTGGGGCCAACCTTTTTTGGCAGGCATGCCACAAATTATCCCCCCACCCTTCCTGCATGCCACTCCAGTTCCTTTCTCCTGCCCATTCTGCTGCTTTGCTTTCTGCTCCCTGTCTGACCTACCGCTTTGCTTTCTGCTTCCTATCCCCTCCCTGATCTGCCACAAGCCATACACAGATTATGTCCATGCTATTTGTGGCACTCAGACTGTACATTGACCTCCTCCGCTGTGAAAGGGGAGTAAAGTAAGTCATAGTCTAAACACTAAGCAACTGAGGTGGTAGAAAACTTTTTCATGAGCCCTTTCTGCTTCACTATCTGAAATTCAAGGGAACTCAAAAATATCAGGTGCCATGAAAGACTTGTTTTACAACAACAACAATAATAAAAAGGTACCAAATTGGAGGGAAAATCCTGTAAATAACTCTACATGAGCCATCATTACATTGCTGAGATAGGACAGAAATAGCCACTCATGACAAATTAGAGAATCCCAACAGATGCGTTCTTTTCTACTTATGTGTATGCAAACATCTGATGGATTTGTCTCTTACTCACTATACCAAACACCTGTAAAGCTTGTCACGCCAAAAAAGCATTAATGAAGTGGAATTCGTTGCAACTGAGCCCAGCTGCCTCCCTGCTTTGGCACTTTTTTTCTTGGCCTGCATTCACTTCTTCCTTATTGTCATGTTGTTTGGAGATCTATACACAGATATATTTCATAATCTGGGCAACATACAGAAGCAATTGTCACATTTCTACCACTGTAGTAGCCACCTGGTAGTAGCACCAGCAATCACTAAAACTGAAAACAATTAGGAAACAAATCCTCTATTTTTGCAGTTTCACTGTTTCAGTCAGCTATCTATCAGGTGCTAAAAGGTATCACCTCCTCAAGAGTTCTGATTACTTTTGCCTTTAGACCAACATGGCTACAACCTGTATCCCTGAAACATGGAAAATATTTAAATTAGCCATTTTGAAATGAAAGCTTCATAATTTTACAAGATGGAAGCGAAGTTCAACACCTTGAGACCTGAAAGCTGACACCCTTGTTGGAGCCTTTTGTTTGTTTCAAGCCAAATTTACATGCTCACAGAGCAGCCACAACACAAGAGAAATTCCTTGCCCAGGAGGGCCTTCCATCACCCATCCTCCTGTGAAATATCAGAACAAGAAAGAAGCATAATTCAACATCCTGCTTGCCATCAGACAACTCTGAGGTAAATAGGCTGCTCCAACTTTTACCATAGCCTATTTTGCAAAAAATGAACTTTTCCAATCAGATCTTACATCACATTTCAGCTCTCCTGTGAAATATGACTTTTCATTTCCACCTGGGAGAAGTTTTACAATCTTTGCACTCTCCTATACCTGAGGAAGGGCACGTGTGCCCAAACACCTGCAAATAAAGAATTTTTTTTTGCAACTATCCAGTTGGTCTAATAAAAGATATCACCTACTCAAGAGTTCCAATTCCTTTTGCCTTCAGACCAACACAGCTATAACCTGTAGCCCTGCAAAGCTGAAATTCGTGAGGGCAGCTGGGTAAGGCCTGATGCCAAGCAAACCATCATGCAACAGAAGAATCCCGTACACAGAGGCTTATCCACCATATACTACAAGACAGCCAGAACGCCTGCGTCAAAGGGTGGACTTCATTTTGTTTTGTGAATGCCATCTTGATCCTTCCTTGCACCCTTCACTTTACATTGTCATCTCTACAGTCCAATAAGACATCCGATTTGAGCTTCCTTGGCCTCTGATAAGACAGGGTTGAAGTCATTCTCTGCCTGGGGTAAGCAAAAGGTGGCAGAAGGATTGTTTTATATGTTTGCCAAGGGAGGAAAGCCCAAACAGAGACAAAGAAACAGAGCAAAGTGCATCTGATTCAGCAGACAGAATGTTGCTGAGGGTCTGGTTTCCAAAGCTCCCAGCACATCTGGACAATTCTTACTACCCGCAACAGTCTTTGAACAATTGGATGCCTGCCTGTCACCCGTCGGCAGTGACACACGAAGGCTGCTGCCTGGTTTCTTTTCTGGAAAACTTGCTGGCTTGCCCAGCATAGGCGGAGGACAGCTATCACCATGAGCACCACACCCATAGCACTATCTGCCATCCCACCAGGCTTGGGATTTAGGGTTTTATTTATGCGCATGTGTATGTATGCATACAACTGTGTATGTATATGTGGGTGTATGAGTGTGTGTGTGTATATATATATATATATATATACACACACACACTCATACACCCACACATCTATCCATCTCTCTCTACGCAGACACGCACATCTAGCCAGACAGATCTGGATCTAGGTATCTCATCTCAGGGCGGGCTCCGGTCCCAGGCTCCCGCTGCCGGTCGGGGTCAGGATCAGCATCACCCCCGTCAACGAGCCCGAGGCCCGAGCCAGGGTCCTCGCGGCCGCCCGTAAGCAAGGACCAGGGGACGGGCCATCCCCGCCACCAGGGGGCAGCAGCAGAGGCTGCGGGCAGAGACCTTTGACATCTTCTCGGAGCCAAGTACTGGGTCGGCTCCTGGTACCCGTAGACACTCAGCAGCTCTCTCCCGAGTCCCATAGCCACACACAACGCTTCCGCCAGCCGCTGTCATGACAGCTGCTTGGCATCCCCTCCTGCCGGAAGGGGCGGGACACCGCGGGCTGCGCACCAATAGCAGTGGCCGGGGGCGGGGCGTGCGAATGGGTCTCCTGAGGGGCAAGATGGCGACGTTGGTGGTTCTACGCTGCTTCGGGCGGCTGGTGCCTGGTGGGCGCTACAGGTTTCCCCGGGCCGGCCTGCGCGGTACGCCCGTTCTCGCGCGTCTCTGCGGCAGCAGCGGCCTCTCCCCGGCTTCGGGGCTCCTCGCGCCCCACCCCCAGTGCGGTGTCTCCTCAGCCCCGCGCTCCCCCTCCCCCGAGCCGCCGTCGCCGCGGAGTGAGGACAGCGAGGGCTACGTCTACCTCAGCCGCAGCTGCGTGCAGGTGCGGGGCGGGCGGGACGGACTTTAAAAGTCCCCGAAGCGGGTAAGAGCCCCCCGGCTGGGGCTGGGTCCAGCCGGCAGGAGCAGAGATGGGGGCTTCCGCCCCGTCGCCCGGGGGGCGCTGCAGAGCCCCTCGCGCAGGTGGGCTGGAGCTGGTCCCCACCCTGCGGGGCAGCTGGAAGAGCTGCAGTGAGGGGTGGGGGGACCTGCCTCTGAGCATGCAGGAATAAGGAGGAGTCTTATCTGCTTTATGGACCCTACATGATGCCCCCAGGGTGTGATCCATTGTAGAAGGGGGTGGTGCAGCTGCACCCTGCCTCCCCTCTTCTGCCACATCCCCTCCTGGGTCCAGGCTCACTTGCCCCGAGTGCCTGGCTCTGTTATGCCAGCTCAAAGGCTCCCACAGCAGCAGTGCACAACCAACTCTGGCCCCCTCCCCATCCTCCTCTGACATGGTTTTCTCAATGGCAGCCGCAGGCTGCATGTGAGGGCTGCCTGGGGATATCAGCACCTCCCTAATCTGTCAGACGAACCACATGAGGGCCCTCTCAGCTGCAGCTGTGAGGCCCAAGCTGGCTGTACACCACGTACCTCTACTTACCCACATCTGTGCAGGTGCCCCTTCCCTTCTGCTGTGGTTCTGGCCTTCCCCATCCCTCAGAGACCTCTTGCTTGACCAGGGGTCTGAGTGTTTGCTTGAGAATCGTGCACGTTTTTAATGCTTCCTCTTTCCTGCCTTGCAGAGGCTGCTGGAGATCACAGAAGGGTCTGAGTTCCTCCGTCTGCAGGTGGAGGGAGGTGGCTGCTCTGGATTCCAGTACAAGTTTTCCTTGGACACTGTTATCAATCCTGATGATAGGCAAGGACTGAAGGGGTGTGGGTCATCGTGGTGTGGGAGATGTCTGTGGACCAGCATGCTGAGAGGAGTGTTTGTGATAGTGTGGTAAATTGGGTGGTCATGCTGCAGTACTGTCTGCCTTCTCTGGATGGTTGGCTAATAAGTCACCTGTGCTTCTTTTCCCCAGAGTGTTTGAACAAGGTGGTGCCCGTGTGGTTGTGGATGTGGACAGTCTGGCCTTCGTGAAAGGGTCCATGGTAGACTTCAGTCAGGAGCTGATTCGCAGCTCATTCCAGGTGGTGAGCAACCCACAGGCTGAGAAGGGCTGCTCATGTGGAACATCCTTCTCTGTCAAACTCTAACTGGACTCTTCCCTGAGTGGTGCTTGGTGAACATTGGGCCACAGACCCAGCGAACTTGTTGCTTTCCCAGTTTCCCCCATCCTTGTCCTCAGTTTATTACACAGTTGCTGCAAACAATCCCAACTGTGTTTCAATCTGAACAAAGCCTGCAGCCAGGCCCCACTGAACTCTCCCTTCAAGAATGTGAAGTAGACTTCAGTGCACACAAGAGAGCATTCTCTGTCCTCTACAAAGTCCTGTGGACTGGCCAGTGTACCAGGTTGCTGTGGTGCCAGATCTCCTTAACAACCTCCCCACCCCACCTCCCCCAGCGTGTGGAACTGCTTGTTTTGCTGGAACTGCTTGTACATATAAATATTGTTGAGAGGTTTTGCTTTTTTTGTTTTCTTTTTTTTTTTAAAGAAATCTTGAAATTCCCATTGTTTATATTTTCATGCATTTCCAATTGCAGTTAAAATGTATGCTGACATGCTGTTGCCTCCCCCTGTTATAGCCATCTGGCTAGAGGACTCCTTGGGTGTTTCTCCTGTAACCCAGGGTTTCTTGCTCTGCCCTCTCCACCTAGCTGTGAACCATCCCAAATAACTTGTTCTAGAGATCTTCTTAACAAAGATCTTCAGCAGTGAGCGCCGTTCCCATCTCCTCTGGCCCTTTTGCTTCCAGGAGACTGCAGACAGTTCTGTGCTGTCAGCATGTATGGGGAGATGGTGCTCTCTGCTCTGTGTAGGTGAGGCAGAATGATGTGTGTAGGGGGTGATTTAATAATTGAAGTATTTTTAAAAACAACATAACTTGGTCTGTTTCTCAACCTGGTTCTCTGGATTTTAAAAAGTAGCACAAGCCAGCAGATGTCCTTTATGTTGTCCTTTGCCAGCAGCGAACAGGGACGGGACTTTATATTGAAAGGTGGAGATAAGTGCCTGTAGTCACAACTGGAAGTTCTGTCCTGCACCAAACATGGATTTTAATCAGTTGAGAAACTTTGTTCCAAGTTTTGCCTTATAACTGAATCTCTCTCCTTGCTTGTTTTCATAACTAATCCCTCTTTCCCTTCATAAAATAGTGCTGGCCAACCACCCTAGTAAGCAGGGAGCCTAGCGATTTGTGTTGTAAACTCTGTTTCAGTTGCAACTTTCTGAAATTTTCACAGTTCAACTGAAATTTTACATGCATGGTCTGTGCTGGGTATGAGTTTTGGTTAAGCTTAGGCCCAAGTATCTCCACCTGCTTCTGGGTGAGAAAAGAGATGGGGAAGTTTAGCTTTTCCTGTCGTCTTGAGATCTTTAATGGCTCTGCAGCCAAATCACTTGGGATTTAAAAATATCAGTTTCTGATGCAAACTGGAGGAACTGCATGACTTTGCTGTGGAGTAATCCAGTGGGATTAGAGCAAGACCATGCCTTTGAGAATCGAATAACAAACAGCAAGCTACTTTTTTGTTAAATTTGCTAAATACTTGCCTAAGAGGGGCTTGTGCGGGGGTGTGCAGCTGAATACCTGCGTACAGATGTTGCTGCTGCACTGAGTGGGACCCAGCCAGTCAGAATCTCTTGCTCCACCCCTTAAGTGCTGTGGGAGACCACTACTGCTTGCTTCTCTTTGGCCTGGAGGAATGTGCCCAAGGTTGGGATCCGAGAGGGCTTGAGCTCTGATCTTACCTTTTCCCTAACTGGCTTTAATTGCTTCCCAAAATTGACAAGCTTCGTTTAATTCTGTCACACACTTGGAGAGCTGAGTGTAATATCATCCTATTTGATGGATGGGGCAGCTGAAGACACTTGTCTAAACTCCCATTGGAATATTGGACACGGCTGGGAAGGGCACATTATCTGTGTCCTGTCCATTACATCACAGTTAATCTTATGCACATCTTAGAGGGTCAGATCTAAAGCTTAGTGTAGGTACACAGCTTTATGACTAACTGTGTTCTTTCATGAGGAATAAAACTTCCTCCAGTCTCTTATCTGTAGCTTAATTTTCTGTGTTAAGAAGCAAAGTGCTTGGTCTGAGACCAATACCCTTCAGCCTTGGACAGGTCTGTCTCATTGTAGCCTTTTTGGAAAATGCAAACATGGCAGAGAGTAATGGGGAAGTATGAAATCTAACTAAACTAATCCGACTTCATGGAATCTTTTTAACTGAGCAGTCTGTCTGTGATTCTTTTATGTGGAATTTATACCTACCTGTTTTATTTGCTTTGTACCTTATGAGGAAGGACCATTTACTCACTTTCTCTGTCACTTACACAATGGTCTAAGAAAGCACTTGCATATACAAGCAATTTTTGCCTTTCACAGAAACCACCCCCTGAGTAACATGTAAAGGATGAAATTTCATCCCTTTTGTTAAGTGACATGAGTAGCTATTTCTGTCCTACCATGTAGGAAACCCACATCTGTGGTTTTTCTCTACTGGGTTATCTTAGCAGTACCTCTGTAAAATCACTAGGTGGCTCCCTTACTCTTTAGGAGTGGGATTGTTTGAGTTCTGTGAAAACTTCCCCTAAATCTAGGGTCTGGCTAGAGTGCCCTTCCTTTGGTCCTCTGATGAGCAAAGATGTTGCAGCTTCTGGGGCTGTCCAGGGACCAGTTCAGCACTGGTGTAAGAACAGTTTTTTTGGTTTGGGCACGAGAGGTTGTTCTGGAGATCAGAGAAATTCTGGCAACATGACCGATGCTGGGATCTACAAAAAAGTCTCATTATCCTACTTCTAACTCAGTCAAGGGAAACTGTCTGTACTGGCCAGAATCACTGGTTTTACAGCAGCATTTCACCAATGCAGTGATGCAAACAGTCCAAATGAAAATGGAGAATTGGCTCCCTTCAGGATCCTGCCAACTCTAGAAAGAGAATTAAATGTGTCTGAGATCTAGCCATCATTAGTCTACTTCCTATTCACTTAGTATCCGTCTGGGAAGTCAAAGACAGAGGTTGTAGTAATGGAAGTGAAACAAGGAATGCACTGAGTAAGTTTTGACTGGGAGGTTTAGAGATCTGTTGGGCAAATATGCTCAAGTTGCAAGCCTGTTGGGCAAGGCAGATGACGTAGTCCAGTGTCAGAGGAAGGCGAGTGTGAGTGAGGTTAAGTTAAAAGTTTGCTTTAGTCTGTTATGTGCATTTGACAGGTAACATTCAGGAAAAGCCTTAGTAGAGCAAGGTTAGTTAAGAGCAGGGTGGTGGATAAGGGTTATGAGCATCAAGGTAGTGCCTAGAATACAGAGCAACTGTCACCTAATGAAAGTGTCTAGAAGAGGTGGGTAGGGGAAGATGGGCAGACTTCTGTGTGACTTCAAAGAAGATGAGAGGTTGGAGGATGAGTACCTACATCTTCCACAGTAAGCAGGAGAGGAATGCTGTATTCTGTGCCTCCCTTGACAGTAAAGAAGTGACCAGAGAGGTAGAAGAACCAAGCAGGGTGTTTATAGAAGCTAGGTTAGGATGATATGTTAAGCAGAAGGGTATGTGCAGTAGGTTCAAGGACAGCTTAGTGGTTGGGGAGGGGATAGAAGCTGTGACTGTCCAGGAAGAGGATGTTAGACATACTTGATGAGAAGATATGGCAGATAAATCTTCTGCTTATATCTGACTCCACTAGTACTCTGCACTCAAGGTCTGAATTAGTGGCTCATGCCAACTGTCAGTGCCCTGTATCTTTATCAGGCCTCAAACCAGGCCCTGGTACAGAGATAACACTTGTTGCTGAGGGAGAAGCTCCCTCCTTTATCATTGATAAGGGAAAAAAATTACATTCATCCTGGTGGGTCTTTCTGTTGATCAGTAGTATTAGATACCTCAAGTATGCCTGCAGCCATTTGGAAGTAGAAAAGGAATGAGTGCACATACCATGAAATGGCGTAGGCCTTCCTTTGTGACCCAGGCAGAGGCTGAGCCATGCAGTCTCTATCTCCAGACTCGGTTACTACAGCTCATACCTAGGAGTGAAGTTACATACCCTAAGAAGGATTTGGTGGGTGTAAAACAACACCCAATCCTTCTAGCATTGTGTGTTGTTGTAGGGACTCCATCTTAATGCTCTGCCCTCTTCACTTGTTCTGTTTTTCCATAAAAAGTTAGGAGGTTTTTGACCCAACAGTTATTTTCCTCCAGAAGTTGACCCTAGCTGCCTGACAGCACCTTTCTCTGCAGCCATGAACTCCCATGACACTGGATCAGTGCAATTGTCAACCAACAGGGAGAGACTTGAGTTTAGAAGACAGAACTTCCACTAGAGCAAACAACAAATTGCTCTGTCGCAAGAGATAAGCGTCTGAGTACTTAACCTCTATAGAACCAAACAGAAAATCTCTATTGGATGCAACTCTTACTCATTTTTTTTTCAGGCAGAATGTGCTCATATACAGAGAGGAAGCTAGTTTGATTGAGATCCTGGGATTTGAATCGGCTTCAGGATTTAGCATCCACCTAGCTTGGGGCTAGAATAGAGGCATGTGCTATAGGTAGTGTTTAGGATTCAACTAAGACTGATTTTATTTGGTTGAATGTAGGAGAATCTGGTTTGGGTGGGTCATAGACTTGAGCTTGAGTGTTCATTTTGTTGGGATTATAGCAGCAAATGGAGTTGATCGGAAGTTGGTCCCAGGAGGACATACAGCTGTGGAGAGAAATGCTGTTAGGGCAGTTAATTCCCCATCAGCCCAGCTGGCAGTAGGCATGGTGGTGTGGCGGGAGGTCAGTGTGTAATGCTGATTCCTCAATCATTGGAGAACTGTGCGAGTACAGTGCTTCCTACTTCAGTCCTTTATATCATTCGTATGTTTTAAGTATTTCCTGTGTGAGCAGTAAGAGTTTATAGCCTCAGTCTTTGTAGTTGATCAGAGCCTAGGTTTGTGCCCCTGTTTTAATCAGTGCTCATTTACCTTTGGCATCCTTCAGTGGAACAGAATGGTATGCCTTTCAGTTGTCATGGAAACAGTGAGACTAAATGCATATTACCATGGCAACCTGCCATGATCTTCAGCTCTGTCTGTAGGTCTTATTTCCTAACCATGGGGGTGGGGTGGTGATAATGGATCTTCCACTGTTTTAAAAAAATGAACCCTCCTCTGCTTCCAAAGTTGGTTCTGTGCCTGAGAAATGCAGTATGTAAGACAAGTCTGTTACTACTACAACTGCCCATTGGCCCAGTTACACCCAGGGAATAATTTCACCTCTTTTTTCCTCTCTTCAAAATACAAAGACCTTCAGAATGATCAGATGGTGATGTATTAGACTCTTCCTGGGCCTGTTCATTACCACAATCCACTCTCCTACGAAAAGCCGGTGAATCTTAATGAACCTCTCACTGGGTGGCTCTACATGTGTGCTGGACTATACGGTAACTGCTGTCACTGTAGTCCTGGCACTGCATGGGTAGTTTTGACACTACTGCGCAGTAGCTCATTGCTACTGTGCAGGAGCATCAGCATTGCAGTTCAAGCCCGCTGACACTGTCTGTAGCGATGAGCTATGCCCCCTATACCTCATTGCTACGGCAACATAATGTCTGTTGTAGATGCACCCGCTATGTCCCATGGGTTAATATATATCGGCTGCTTATGGATGTGGGGAAAAAAAAACCTAGCACTTCACTTCAAGCTTGATGTGTCCCCATGCCGAGTGCAGTACATGCCCAGAAGGGGCGTCGTGTTAGTTTAACCCGGCTTACCCGATGTCTGTATAGATCGCCTTGAGTCCAGCTCTTTGGCACTTTTCTCTAATAGCTGATTGTATCAGCTTTGAGATAAAAGTGCCAAAGAGCCCCACTAAAGTGTCTGATCTATACAGACGCTGGGGCGCCAGGTCAAACTAATGTGCTTCCTCTTCTGGTAAAGCACTGTTTTTGGTTGTTGGGTTTTTTTCACATCTGTCAGCAGCTAAGGTTCCTTTTATCCTGCTAGCTGACACCAACCCGGACATTGTGGGGATCACTGAAACATGGTGGGACTCAACGCATGACTGGGCGGTGAATATCAAGGGTTATAGGCTGTACAGGAGGGACAGGATAGCAAGGAAAGGTGGGGGCGTGGCACTCTACATTAAGGAGGAATACCCATCCTCATCAATTAACAAAGAATCAGAGGAAGAGCA